TCCATCTTACTAATGTGAACTTGACAGTTTAGTAAAATGTTAACATATTAAAAAAAGTCAATAGAAGCGTTAATTTCCATTAATGAAGTCCTTTGGGTTATTTAATAAAAAAAATCAAAACGCACACACAAAGTAGATTTTCAAATAGACATAACAGGTATTTAAGTCATTTTTTATTTTAGTTCCCTTTCAGCAAATATTTTGTTAAGTCACCCCTTGGATAGTTAGGGGGGTGTTTGGCTAAAAAATTGAAAAGAGGGGTTTAATGCAAAACTCAAATTGAAAATCGAGGTGTAATGTAGTTCACTCTTAACTTAATTGGGCAAAACAACTCCTTCCTTTAATTTTTTTTAATTGGCTTTCAAAGATGCAAGTTATCGCAAAACAATTTTTTTTTTTTTTTTTCACAAGTTCATGTATAATTGCAACAATAACATATAATCAAATTTCTCTCAAAAATTAGTATTGGCATCAGTTTCTTCGTCTCCCTTTTTTTTTTTTTTAAGTTTCATTTCTCTTAAACTAATAATTAGTTATACTTCTACCTACAAAAGTATTATGAAATCTTACTTTAAATATATATAAAATATAAATAATTATATTATTAAATTTAATAATCCTTCATTTTACTATTTATTTGCTAAAAATAGGCATCATCAAATATAAATTCACTTATTTTTTAGGATTTGAAATTATAAGGATAATTTTAGTATGTTCAATCATTTTCTTATCACTTTCATGCTATTCAAAATAACAAATTAATATTTTATACAATCTTTTTGAATAAATTTTTATACTAACCAAATGCATGTTAGAAAATAATTTTCTTTTCATTTACTTTATTTATTTATTTTTTTTTCATTTATTTTCTTACTTATTTCTATTTATCTAAACGGAGCTTGAGTAAATTAGTCTAGACTCACGAAGTTTGTAACATTCAACCTGGTCAAAATTGTCAAACCTGAGCTTCACCAAACTAACAAGTAAATTAAGTCTAACCTCCTTGTTTTAGTTCCTCGAACAGGTATGAAAGTGCAGTTAACCTTTACTTTCCTTAAAATAATTTTTTGTGATGTAAATTACCCTTTAAATGAATCAAGTTACATTTTTACCCTAAATTAATACAATACTAACCCCAAACATATGATAAAATACCTTAAAAGAGCGAGAAGATGAACTTTATGTAAAAAAAAATTAAGGTACTTCTGTCATATATTTGGAATTTGTTTTGTCTACATCACATATTAATTAAGGGTAAAAATGCACCCTAATTAATTTGAAGGGTAATATTGACATTGAAATAATTTCTGAAAATGTTGGAGTAGTTTTTTATAATAGTTTAACCTAATAATTTACTCTTAATTTTATTAGATTAAGTAAGTAACATGTTATTCCAACAAGAATATGTATTATGAACGTAAAAGAGATACAAGTAGACTCTCGGTGGAAATAATTTGAAGATAAAAAATTTGAGAAGACAATAAATCCTATAATTTTTTTTAAGGCAGTGAAATCCAGCTTTTGAGATATATTTTCAAATTAGGTCAAAGTCTATTACTAAATTACCTATAGTTTTTTAACTCACTAAAATGCCAATGGCAACTTACACCTATTTAAAAAAGCATTTATTGTTATACAAAATATTATTGACAAAAATATTTAACAAATTATTTTGGGTACACTATAGATATAAAGTACTCATAACATTTTTAAATGCAACAAACACTTTTCATGTATTATATTTATAAATAATAAATAAACTATTTATGATAATTTTCCTTCTTATGTTTTGGATAAAACTCATATGGATATATGTAGGGGTGGATAAATAATCTGTGAATTCACGAATCTGTGCGGAATGGATCGAATTGGTACACCGACAGATCGGTGGCAAATTTTAAAAAATTAAATCCGTAGCTTACAGATAGAATCACGGATTGGACGATTAAAAATTCGATCTGATCTGTAAATCTAATCCCTGAAATTTATATATATTTTTTCAAATAATATATTAGTTAATTTAATTAGTTAATGATAATTTAATGTACTCTAAGGATGTATTACTTAATAATTATTTAAATATATGTATTAATATTAATAAATTAAAATTTTATGTATTGGATTAGGGTTAAAAAGATAAATAAATAATAAATAATATTACTTATAAAAAAATATAATAATTTAAATAAATCCCAATTCGCATATCCAATCCTATCCGTTATTACACGAATTTGTGTAATAACGGATCGGTGGTGAATAAATTTTTTGTTAATTCGTTAGGAGCGAATCAGATTATGATTAATGTCTAATTCGACATGTGGCCACCCCTAAATATATGTCCTGAATGTTGTCCATTAATATAATTTTTCGTTGGTGAAATAAATAATAATAATAGACAAGCGACACAATTAACTTGTAAGGTAAAAAAACCTTTAATTAGCATTACCTTGATCGATCCTACAATTATAATACTCTTCCATTTAGAATATTTCTTTCATTTTTCAGTAGATAATAATTCTAAGAGCTTCAGCGCATAGGGGCACTTTTGGTACAAAAAAGCACACACACGCATAGAAGCACGTCGAGGTCACACAGCATGGATGGAAGAGAACTATTGAAATATATACATAAAGATTAAAGACAACACTAAGAAAGAAAATAAAATTGGAGTACAAAGGATGCATTCACATATAATGAGTTGCAAGGGTATTTTAAACATGAAAAGATGATTTTTTATCAAATGTTTAACTGCTCACGTGGTAGTCACATGCCTCAATCTATTTGTTAAGTTTGGACAGTAAACTAACATATGATAATCGTTTTGATTTATTTTGAATAGTTTAAGTTTAGTCTTCATTTGACAAAAATTTGATAGTTGAGGAGAGTATGACCGTGACAAAATTAGGTTTTTTTTTTTTTTTTTAGGTTCGGTAAAATAAAATATTCATAAATTTACTATTGTTCTTACTTAAATTAGTAAATTTGAATCTCCAACCTTCCTTTTGAGAAGAGGGGAATTATCACCATTTTAACTCAATATTATTAGTAAGTATTGTGTTATCCGAATAGTTGGGTTGCTTCTTAGGAATTCGTGTTCTAAGCCTTACATCTTTACCTCCTTAAATTTTTTTTAATACACATAATCACTCTAATATTATGAGATTGTAATACTTAAATAAAAATAAATTGACAACAAATCTCAATCACGTGGTTATATATATATATATATATATATTTTTTTTTTATAACAAGAATATTATGGGTTAGTTGAGGGAGAGCATACAAGGTTCGAATACCAACTCTATAATATGAAAAGCAAACAAATCACTCAAACAATCTTGCACTTACCGTTAAATATAAAGAGTTGAAAAGACTTTTCTTAACGGCATTTATTTAATACACAATGAATTAATAACAATAAGTGAATTGTGGTGTTCATTTAATATATTAAAACAAAGAATGATTTATGTTAAGAAAAAAAGAAAAAAGAAATATTTATGTTCCAATCAATCCATTTAATCAAATATAATAATATATATAATTAATTAATTTATTTACATGGCAAGTTGGCAACATCGTAATTTGGGGGCTGGAGCTCGTTTACTCGTATGTAGGAAGGTTGCAGGTATCCAACAGATTGGGTTGTTCAAAGCTTTGAGTGATTTTCATGATATAAAAAAAACAATGCCGTTGGTGAAAAACATGTGTGATGATGATCATACTCGATGAAAATTTAAGGACCATCCATTTGAAAATATAAGTGAGTCGGTAGCTCTCTGGTCAAATGAAGACTTAGGTAGGACCCAGAGTAATCATGATTTACTTAAAATGGGTAGTTGTGAACTTGTGATGATAGGCGTCTGTGATGCTTTGGCTTTTTTTTTTTTTTTTTTTTGTTTTTTTCATCCACCCTCTTGGCTACCCATATGATGGTAATAAATTCAATGGTAACTTTCTTGGTATTCACATGGGCTGCTTTCCCTTTTTTTTTTTTTTTCATCTTCAACCTTGAATAAATTATTCTAATCCCATCGACAACATTTGACAAAAATATTTTGTTTTATTTATTTTTTAGTTCACATTAGTTTGTTTGGATAACAGATAGAGAAAAATCAGGAAATGCATCCATCATGTGCACTTTATATTTACTAGATCAAATCCAATTCTTTTATAATTTCAAGTTATTAATCCCTCACCAATGAGCAAAATCATAAGTTTAATAAATCATGATTCATTCGGTGAAACAAATACATTTTTTTGTCTTTTAACTTTTAAACAAACATATTTTTTGAATTTTTTTAGGTTTAGAGAAAAACTTAATTACTTTTCGTATAGTAATTACATAATATCAAACATTAATTATAAACTGATGTATAAGTAAGAAAACTCTATTTTGGTGGATCTCATTACTGTGTGTTAGTGTATAATGAAAGAGTAACATCATGTCATCAGTATATTGAGTGGAAAAATTCTTTAATACTTCAACTTTTATAATAAAATAGTCTTCCAAACGAATTAAATATCGTAATTATATGACTCACTAAATAAATACATATATATATTTTTATGTAAAATAATATAATTAATTAATTAATTAATAACACGGATGAAATGAAATCACCGAATCTTTCTCCACGCTCGACGCTCATAAAGTAACTAAGTTTTTCTCCTTTTTTTTCGATAGACTTTGATAATTTTACTTAATTTTACTTAATTGGATTTAAATTGACTTGCTCCAGGTTGCACTTCATTGAGGGGTCCATCGGTATTTCACGGACATTTATGACATGCATCTGTTAGCCGACAATTTGGAAGGGGGCCAAATGTCGGCCGTGAACCGGCGACTAACGCGGCGAAAACACCAATCAGCGCTCCAAAAGATTTTCAAAAGATGAAAATTAAACTCCCCTGGACTCTCTCTCTCACTTAGTACTATTTTATTTTCACCACTTTAAAAAATATTACACTACTCTTTTATGTGCACAATACTAACTGTAAATCTCTACTCCCTCTCTCTCTGCTCTCACTTGTTTCTCCAAAACTCTCTCTCTATTCTCTCTCTGTATTTGCCATGTGAAATTCTCTATGTAGAACAACCAATTCAATCGCATCTCCACAGAGTGATAAAGATGGGCGGAATAGGATTGAAGCCCTAGAATAGTTAATTGTTACTGTGATTTCTTTACATGTTCGTTTTAATGAAGCTACCTTGAATGATTAACTTCTTTTGGGTACGTTTTCAGTTAGAAATTCTATTTCTCCGTCCAATATAAATATCTAGGAGTAATTTATCGTTTTATTATTATTATTATTATTATTTTTATTTATTTATTTATTTATTTTCCAGAATCTTTTACGCGTTAGGTTTGGTTCTTTTTTGTGGGTATGAATTGGTTTTTGTTAATTCAATTTTGTTTTTGATTTTTGAATTTCCTTGTGTTTCATCGAGTGCTTATACTAATTTGTATTTTGTTTTATAAAGCTATGTTTGACCAAATGTAAATTTGGATTGTATTTTCAAAGAATTTCTATTATAAGATTGAATGCTAACAATTAAAATGTATTTTATTGAATGCTAACAATTAAATTCTCTCTTTTTTAAGGCGCTTTCTTCTCTACATTATTCATCTTCTATCTATGCAGTGTGATTTTCTTTTTTTAAGTTATGACATATGGTAAAATTTGATGAAGTTTAATTTGAACTTTATTTATTTCCTACACTGACTTGGTTAAGTGACTAATAACATTCTTAGCTGTGGCTATCATGATTTCATAGTGCATTAGTTTCGCGTGGTTCGGAAGGGAATGATCCTTTTGCTAACACTGATTTTGTTACATTCTGCTTTTGTATTTCAGGTAATTTAAGGTTAATTATAGTTTTCCACAGTGAATATAAAGTATGGAAGTTGCTGAGGTTAAAGAAAATTTACTTGTGGTTGGCGATGCAAAGGTATATAACCAGGGAACTACAAAAATTCAAATTGGTATTTATGGATACTTGCATGTTTGCTTTGTTTACTTATTCTAGGATTTCAAAATACTCTTTGTTTTGGCTTTACTCTTTTTTTTTTTTTTTTTTTTTTTTTTTTTTTTTTTTAAAAAGCTGAGGTATCTGTTAAAGCTCTTTGTGTGTATTTCAGTTTCTCCACATGCTTAGAAAGAAATACATAAATTTATACATGCATATGCGTGTGTGCGCGCTCGCGTGTTTTAAGCTGCTTTGTTGCATGCTCAATTTGACCGTCCAAACTTGAACTTCCTAATAGGGAATTGCATTATGCTGCATGGCAATAATTGCTCAAATATTCATTTTAAATGTAATTTAGAAAGAAATTTGGTGTTATCGTTTCGGAATCGAGAGTAGCTCATTACTGTGTAATTTCAGTTTTAATTTTTCTTGCATGGCATAGCCAAAGTTTGCTAAGTTTATACACTTCTAAGTGTTTATGCTAATTGGGTTGAGTGATTGACAAGAATGTGGTTGTTAATGCAGTTACATGGAGGGATGTGCAAGTCACTCTCTGTAGTTTATTCCAAAGTGTTGGGAATTTTTCCCGTGTTGGAAGCAGCACGTCCTAGGAGCACATCGGGTATTCAGGCATTATGTTCTTTGCACATAGCGGTCGAGAAGACCAAGATTATTCTTCAACATTGTTCTGAATGTAGTAAACTTTATTTGGTATGATTTCTTCCCAATTATACTTATACTTTTACTCGGTGTTTATGCTTTCCGGTATTGAGAATGTGCCATCCACTGAGGGATATCCATCAGTTGATGTTTCTTAATCTTCTGGCTGACGGGTCCATGTGAGCAAAACAATGTTTGGGTGGCTCTATTTCTTTTTATATTACTTATTGATGATCTCTGGCGATTTATTCATTTAAAGATAGTGTTTTGATGCATGGTTTGGGATGAGAGTATAGTGCTTCAGCATGCCCATGTGGCTGGCAATGCACATATATTTATATATTAATATTGTGTATGACGGTGGATTATTGGATAAGAGCACATGATGGAACATGTATTGATGAATTCATTGGCATTTCTTGGTGATCAAGAATCTATATACTTAACTGATTTGTAAGCATATGGTGGGAAGTGGAACTTTTAAAGATTTGGCTTATGAATATAATTTTCATACTTTATTTGACGAGTCTGAACCCCCCACCCCCTCCTTTTTCACCACCCAAGGAATGTTTTTCTAATCGAATCATTTGTATCATGCAGGCTATAACTGGGGACGCAATTGTTTTAAAATTTGAGAAGGCAAGATGTGCTCTTGAAGATGGTCTTAGGCGGGTTGGGGATATCGTTCCACAATCTATTGGTTGTCAGGTAATTTAATCTAAGTTCCTTTGGCTATCTCTTCATTGCATCCCTAGTTGATTCTGTTTCATGTTCTAAGGTTTGATAAAACTTTTGGTTTGTATGCTTTATAAAAAGTAGTAGTAAATACATTCTCACACTTTTATGATGGCACGGATGTGCCTCTAGATGGTAATGGTATCTGTGAATTTCATGAAGAAATCAGAACATAACATAACCAAATTGATTTAGTTGATCTTGATTTGCTTCATGCTGACCATTATTGATCATACAAAACATTGATTTCTTAAGTTATGGCCAATATTTCATTGGATGGGTGTTGCTGATTCCAAGTATATCGACGGGACAACCAGAACCCGACTTTCTTTTTTACATGAAAACCATTTATTACAATTAGGGTTGTGCTTGGGTTGAAAAATACCAATCCAAACTCGATTTGGATTGGACTCAGGTTGAGAGTCGGTCAATTCGAACCCAACCCGAATACATATATTTATTATGGTTAATTGCAGAAAACCCACCTGAAACCCCCCGATCTACTCTTTTGCAGAATACCCCTGTACTATCATTTTTTTTTTTTTGCAGATAACACCATTCTGTCAAGATGCCATCTAAAAAATTACTGTTATTTCTTTACATGAGTCACATGACTTTAATAATTAGCATTATGGAAAAATTGCCGTTTGCGAATATGAAAATGCCCCTGAAAATTAGAATCATGAGATAGAAATGCATCATTGCAGAGATGTTGGCAATGTGTTCCAGACATGGAACCCAAGTAACGGAGTGACTTGTGAAATCTATGAAATCATTCCAAGGAAGCTCTAAGTGACCATCTTGGAACTCCCATACATGTTTCTAATGAATCAGCTCATGATCTTGCTGATAGCTAAAGCATGTCGTGCGAGAGTACACTACCTTCTTGCATCATGTGGCAACAACTGCCTATTTGAAAATTTAGTCTTAACAACCCAATTATCTGTTTTTTTTGTCCTTCACTGATTTTTCATAGAAAATGGGGGCATCGGGCTGTCTTAATTTTCTCACCTTTAATATATATAATACATTATCACTATAGTTGTCATAATGCAAATTTTTCTTGCATTACCAGGGGACAGAGAAATTTGTGTGAATAATTGAAGTATTGTATTCATTTGAACTCATTAGCAGCTTTAACAGGTTTGAGAATCTAGAGAGAGAAAAGAAGATAGGTCACCCTGGCAAAGCAAACCTTAGTTTTCTTCACAGATTTCCTGTACCTTTTATGTTTGTATCAATTTTCACAATAGAAGAGAATCTAGAGAGAGAAAGAGAGGTGTTAAATAGATTTATTTTTGAGAATCTAGAGAGAGAAGAGAAGAAAAGAGGAAGACGAAAGAGGTGGTGTTTCAGTTGGGTGAGGCTGTATAGTGGCAAAGAGTGGCAAGTTTCATTAGGTGGCATCTTAAGAGTTAGAAAATTGAGAGAAGTAGAGAAACAATGAGAAAGAAGTACGAATAAGATGAAGCTTAGAAAGGGTTAATAATAAAGTTAGAAGCAGGATAGCAACAATTTCCAACCTCACAAAATGGTGCCGTTCTTTTATGTCCTTTTCTGCCCTTTTCTGCCTATGTCATATTTTTGAATTTTTTCCTTTTCCTTTATTTCTTTTTCCAAAGGGCAAAATAATCAAGTGAAGTTTCTTTGTTGTTAATGGCACATTAACGCTATTTCAATCATTGCAATTTTTTCATAGTTTTGAGGGATTATTTGCAACATTAGGGACCTATCTGCAACTACCTAATAGTTCAGTGAAGTTTTTTTGCAATTAATCTTATTTATAATTATATATTAAGTGGTGATCCATCTTTTTTGCAATTTTTTCTTTATTTTATTTTTTGTATATTAGTCCTTTGAATATTCAATTTTTTGAGAGCTTGGTTATATTTTCTATAGGCGTAGTAGGGACCCAACCCGAGTTCAAAAATTTGAATATAGATTGGGTATGGGTTGGGGAGTTTCGATTGAATGTCAGGTTGGGTTGAGCTTGGGATGAAGGTTTTACGCATCAAGTTGAGCCTTGTTGACTGTTCAACAAGCCCGAATTGCACCCCCGTCAGTTAATGATATAAATATATCACATATGATGGTTACTGAAGATACAACGATCTTTGTCTGTATCTCTAGAATAGTTTGAGGGCAGCTTCACCTATTTTGTGATCCAGTTGAAGCTCCAGCCAGGAACTAGCTTGTATTTGGCGAGAGAGGTCAAAATGATCTCTTCTAGGGCTGAAATGATTGCATATGACGATTGCTGATAATATTATTGTCGATATTAGACCTTTCTATCAAATGGCTGCAAGTAAGGCTGATCATATTCTAACGGCCTTAATGGATGATTGAAACATTAAGTAATGGGAAACTTAGATTAGAAATTAAGAGCTGAATGTTCAAAATTTGGTTCCTTGTAAGCTTGTTTGACATAGTTATTCTCCTGCAAAATGGTCCAAACGGCCCTCTATAGGTTTCTGGTATGCTCCACGGTGACTTGTGCTTCCTTTTGAATCAGATTCTCTATTTTGAGCCGAAGTATTTCTTGCATCTCAATTTTTTATATTTACTTGAAATTGAATAGTATCAGTCTAGGAAAAAAATAAAAAATAGTATCAGTCTATCAGAAGAATATTTTTGGTCTTCACTGGAGTTGTTTTTTAGTTCGTTATAGCTTTTGCCATTTTATTAAAGACGTGATCTTGATTCCTATTGTATCTACAAATATTTCAGATCTCAGAAATTCGAAGTGAGCTTGAAGGGATTGAGTTCTCACTTGATCCATTGGAGAAGCAAGTTGGTGACAAAATAATTGTATTGCTCCAGCAAGGGAGAAAATTCAACAGCAATTCTAATGACAATAATGAGCTTGAATCTTTTCATCAGGTTGCTTCTAGTCTTGGTATAACCTCTTCGAGAGCGGCTCTTACAGAGAGAAGGGTTCTGAAGAAACTCATAGAAAGAGCTCGGATTGATGACGATAAGCGCAAGGAATCAATTGTGGCTTATCTTTTACATCTTATGAGAAAATACTCTAAATTATTTAGAAGTGAATTTTCGGATGAAAATGATTCGCAGGGTTCAGCACCTTGTTCTCCTACTGTTCAGGGCTCGTTTGAGGGCAATGGTCATGCCTTTGAGCGACAACTCCCAAAACTCAATTCTTTCAATTCCAAGCCGAATTTCTGGAGGTCAGGGCAGATGCTCATTCCTCCCGAGGAGTTGAGGTGTCCAATATCATTGCAGCTCATGTATGACCCTGTTATCATTGCTTCTGGGCAAACATATGAAAGGATTTGCATTGAGAAATGGTTCAATGACGGGCACAACACCTGCCCAAAAACTCAGCAGCAGCTCTCTCATCTTTGTTTGACTCCTAATTATTGTGTTAAAGGTCTTGTTGCTAGTTGGTGTGAACAAAATGGAGTTCCTGTTCCTGATGGTCCCCCAGAATCTCTTGATCTAAACTACTGGAGGCTGGCACTATCGGAGAGTGAATCTGCGAATTCAAAATTAATAGATGGCGTTGACTGCTACAAGTTGAAAGGCATAAAGGTGGTTCCTTCGGAGGAGAGTGGTATTATTGAGGAGGCGGAAGGAATTAAAGGGAAATATGTGTCTGTACAGGAGGAAGATTTTGAGTTCAGCGTGTTTGAACGATATGAGGGCCTTTTGACCATCCTGAGCAAAGAGGAAGAGCTGAGAAAAAAGTGCGAAGTAGTTGAACAGATAAGGCACTTGCTAAAGGATGATGAGGAAGCTAGGATTTATATGGGGGCCAATGGCTTCATTGAAGCGCTGATGCAGTTTTTAGTGTCTGCTGTGGATGAAAGGAATGGGATGGCTCAGGAAATTGGAGCAATGGCTCTCTTCAACCTTGCTGTTAACAATAACAGGTTTGCACCCTTGTTCAATAATCTAAGTGTTTTTAAGAGGCAAATGTGGCCTTTAGCCATGATAATAGATGGCCAAATAGCTCGATCTGTAGTTGTTACTATGGTTCTAAAAGATCAAAGATGGCTCTTGTCCTCAATTTTATGTGTTTATTTATTTAGTATATATATGAAATTAACACATGGAGCTTTCTTGGGCCAACTGTTTGTCAAAGGTGGCTCTTGTCCATAATATTATGTGGTATTTATCATTGGACTAAAAGATCACAGTGATTTGTTTGTAATAGCACAATAGTTGTGTTCAAAAGGGAGTAAAAAATTTAATACCTAAAATTTCGATATGGATACATAAGTAACATAACACATTGTCCAGTGACTCCAGTGAATTCTTGATCATTGTCTTGAGATGTTGCAAGGGAAGCCAATCAAGCTTTCTTTGAACTTGTAAAATTGGCTTGACTAGGGTGCTTATTTGGAGGGGTTATGTTCTCCAATGATATCTTTTTGTGATCCTTAGAGCTGTGTATATCCTCCATGCTATTCTTTTGATAGTTCATAAGAAAGTCTTTCAGGAAAAAAACAGAAAGTCTTTGTTGTACAGGTTAGATGCTCTTTTTCTTCACCACTTCCTTCTAATATTAAGTCTTGTCTGTCATAGGAAAAAGGTGCAATGGTCCCTGGAAATCAAGTATAGGCACCAAATTGAGAAAGAAAATGTTCTTAATTTCTTGGTCCTTTAAGAACATTATGGTATTCCTTTTTCCTTAGAAGCAACTTGGTAGGGGTTGAACTCTACCACCACCTGTCGTTAACTGTTTCTAGGTACCACTGGGCTACAAGGCTGTGGTAAAGAACAGAATTATAGCGAGTAAAATGATAGAATAACACTTAATGATTACCATTATATGAAGGCACTAGGTTTGATTGTATCACAATTTTTTTATTGATATAGAGAATACTACCAAAAGTTTTATGGTTACCTTGATCATGTTGCTGCCAATCTTTACTCTTCAGATTAGTAATAACAAATTTACAAGCATGTAGATACAAGGAATGGATTCACATAGGAACCCATTGAGGAGACCCCCCACTAAAATCTTCTGTTATGACAATTTTAATTATTTATCTTATTTTGTGTGGGCCAAAGCCCACTCAAAGCTCTGGTGGTTCGGGGGCTTGCCCCGAGGAAATTTTTTGACCCGTTTTTGCTCATGGGTCGTAGACTATAATTAGTACTCTCTTGTAGCCTGATATATAAGGGCGTTTAGGGTTTGGAGTGTGATCATCAAGAGACACTTAAAATTATATAGAGATAGTGTGAGGGGTTGAAACTTGTAATATCCGATTTTACACATAGTGAAGACTTTCGCCAGATCTCCACCGTGGACGTAGGCTTTGCCGAACCACGTATAAATATGTGTGGTGTTTTTATTTTTTTGTCATGATTCTTAATTGTTGCTTGGTTTGCTGTGTTTGTCGCAACAGTTGCCAATAATTATTCATCAGAGTCTGGATTATGGACTAGATGTAACTTGTAAGGCTCTGAGTTGTTGTCCATCTTGAATGCATGCCTCAAAATTTTCCTTTAATAGTCACAACTATTATGTTCATAATATCATTTAAGCATAAATTAATCATTCCTGCCCCTTTTTCTTTCTATGCATACATGTGAAACGTGAATGAGATCATTGAATTGCTGGAAGCTAAATTTGCATTACATATTGTCTGAAACTTTCATACCTGTATGTGGTTTAGTTATTCTGACAACTGACAATGGTCATTTGGTTCCATTAGTTTTTTTTTTTTTTTTTTTTTTTTGTTAAATAATAAATTATAAACAGTGAATATGTACTTGTGATTCCAATGAACTACTTAATTTATCTTGCTTTTCAGAAACAAGGAAATGATCCTAGCTGCAGGAGTACTTCCATTGCTGGGGGAAATGATTGCCAATTTCGACTGTCATGGATCAGCAACGGCTCTGTACCTTAACCTTTCATGCCTTGAAGAAGCCAAGCCTATTCTCGGCACAAGTAAGGCCGTCCCTTTTTTGATGCAGGTTCTTAGAGCTGAAACTGATCCCCAATGTAAGCTGGATGCCCTCCATGCAGTCTATAATCTCTCCACACACCGTTCCAATATTTGCAGCCTCCTACAGGCTGGCATCATCAGTGGCCTTCAATCTCTTCTGATGGACTCCAGTACCCGTGCATGGACTGAGAAATGCATAGCTATTTTTATGAACTTGGCTTCAAGCAAATCAGCAAGAGATGAAATCATATCAGCCCCAGGTTTTGTTACCAAACTTGCGGCATTATTGGATGTCGGTGAGCCTGTTGAGCAGGAGCATGCTGCTGCATGTCTTCTGCTTTTATGTAATGGAAATGAGAAATGCAGTCAAATGGTCCTGCAAGAAGGGGTGATACCTTCTTTGGTGTCAATTTCGGTAAATGGAACTATGAGAGGAAAACAGAAGGCTCAGAAACTACTGATGCTCTTTCGGGAGCAGCGGCAACGCGACCCATCACTGGTTCAGAATTGTCAGCAGTCCAAAAGTAGTGACATGGCCATGCCGGCTCCGGAATCAAAACCAGTATGTAAGTCGATCTCGAGAAGAAAGATGGGTAGGGCTTGGAGTTTTTTGTCGAAGACCAAAAGCTTTTCGGTATATCAGTGTTAAGAGTCTCTTATCTTTGTTCTCTGGTTGGTATTGTAAATTTCTGATGCATCTCCTTTTGGATTTGTTTTGTCCAGTTCCCACAAGCAAATACCTAGTTTTAGTTTTCCACAGAGAAGAAGAGATGTACAGTCTCCTATGTGATATTTGGATTTTGTTTCTTTCTGTTGCCTTGTGAATAGGTTTTGTATATACAGTTAAATCTATTTTTGAAGCAAACCTCACTGTGCTGAGATGTGAATGTTAATTCAAATGGTCTGGTTCGCTGCTTACATCATACTTACGAAGTATTTAGATTACACATGCCGGTTGAAAGCACTGCATGAGAAGGTGCCAATGGCTACAATGAAGACAAATAGACATTGCACTTTGATTTTTTTAAAGGAAAAAAAAATATTGGGGTGGCTTAAGGCATGAGGTTAAAAATGGTGAACATTATTACTTTCATTTACAAGCTCCAGGAGGAGTGTTTGTGGGCGAGATTCTTCACTCTTTGTATTATTACATAATAAATTATTACCCATTCATTCCAAAGAGCCCGTCTAGCTCAGTTGGTAGAGCGCAAGGCTCTTAACCTTGTGGTCGTGGGTTCGAGCCCCACGGTGGGCGTTCCTTTTTTTTTTCACTGAAGTAAGATGTTGATTTTTTATAAAATCTTTTGGCTTAGAGCTTGAGGGCGACCTTTCGCATAATAGTTAGGTTGCTCCATTGTGCCAGTTCATATTAGGTTTGAGGTAATATCCTTCAAATGAGCAAGAAAGGAACAGTATGAAACATATCCCATATGCAGCAAACATATCCTATATGCAGCATATCATATGCTTGTCCGGTTCTGAGTTTAATTAATGTTTGCTGTAGTTCCTGAAAGACTGAATATACCGTTGTTGTTCATTGTGAGTTTTCTGCAAAGTCAGTCTAAAAGCACCGGTAATAATAGAGTTGAATAGAGTAGCATAACATGTAGTCAACTCTATATATACAATCCATGAGAATCTAAATTACAAAAATGTGTGCTATTCTTTCAATTAGCTAGGCCAGGTAAATTGCTATTCATCTTAAATGAGAATGTCATTTATCATGCCAGCTATCTCACTATAAATGGATTCGGGATTGCTTGGAAAACCACGTTATGAAGATTCATGAACTATATAATACACGATCAAATTTATTGAATCTGATACTGAGAGAAATACTAGTTCCTAATACATGTATCCGAGTTCACGTAACATAACTCACAAAAACGAGCAAGAACCTTGTAAAGCCTTTTGCCACCAAGGATGGTATAAAGGCTAGGTATTAGGTACCATGTCCAAAAGCATGAATGATTGTAAGCATAAAGCTTTTTATGTTGATTAAGAGGAATTTTTATTTTTATTTTTATTTTTTTTTTCAGGAAAAAAAAAATAAGAAAGAGAAGAGGATGTTTTGCCTACAACAAAAGATAGCTTACAACTTCTTCAAAAAGCTGTCCCAAACACAATCCTGTATAATTGATCATTTTTTGATGGAAATAAATATCAACAAATTGCTTAAATTAATAAAGCCTGGATAATTTTTTTAAAAATCAAAATGGGGAAAAAGGAAATTGACTGAGAAATGCACAGGAAGAAAGCAAGAACAACATGCAGGGAAAATTAATCTTACCTTATGAGAAAAATTTTCAAACATTTCCATAGTTTATGTATGTACATAATTTGCCAAGCACTTATATAAGTACATATTATTGTCTTAGCATTGAGTCCTAAAAACTCAATACTGTGGAATATAAACTCACCAAAATTGTACTACAATAGAAGCAGCCATTAATATAAGCGGCTTCTAGTTACAAAACCATCGCAGCTACCCCAAACCACCAAGTATAGTTTTAGGCCAAAAAAAAAAACTCAAAGCTGCCTCATCCATTTCTACTATTTCCCTATTACAAGCTTGCAGTTTTTCCTCTTCGAGGTACAAATGGCGCGCACAGTGAGTTCTAGGGGACGGCGTGGCACCATGTGTGCTGTTCGATAAATGCTTGGACCCCATTTTTCGTAGGAGAGGATCCTAATGAAAGAACAGAACATGGTACTAACTTCATTTACCTGCTTTTGGTGTATTCATGTGCCAGCTTGTCTCAAACAGTTCTAAAATCGGATCCGCCCCCATGCCACATTCCTTGCTTTTATTTGTGTCATCACCCTCCACCGTCTTTCTATAGCTATCAAAGCCTTCAGTGCTTTCTGAGTTTTCATTTTTCCCCTTCTCCAGCATTTCCTTGTAACTGCACTTTATAACATCGAACTTGGCTGGCCTGTCAACTATCCCGGTCTCATCTTGCGAAGAATCGAATTTAGGAGATGGCTTCTCCTCATTCTCGCATTGAATTGGGGTCGGAGATGCTACAGGGCAGTGTGTTTCGCCAGTTTGGGTTGGTGACTCTTCATGACAGTATGCTTTATCCGATTCATTGCTCACATTGTTGCAGTTGATATCAACAACAATGTCTTTCTCCCTAGTATTGTTGAATCCCCAATGAGTCAATCTAGATATCACAAAATTCAACCACGAGATTGAATAGACCAGTGCCCAATCTAGAAATGGGACTTGGTGAATAATTGTAGGGAATTTATTCACAGCATTGTCAAATTTTACTGGAAGAGCTTCTGCAGTGAGGACTAGATCATCAATCTTGTTGAATAAACGAGTTGATGGCGGGAAAAGGGTTTCGATTATGTTCTCAACAGCTAGAATGTAACCGTCCGCAAAGGAGAGGACTGCTAGACACTGGCATTGTATGGTGTAGACAAATGGGAAGGCTGCTGTGAGTCCTGTGACTAATGTGGCTATGGTTTTCGTCATTGAACCTATCGGTCCATTGATATCTTGAGCTTTTTTGTAGGCTCTATGAGCAGTTTCTAGAATTGAAACTCCACAGGTGTGTAATGGAAGACGTCTGGACATCGTTCTGGTGTATGCTGTTGAATCCAGAGAAAATTTAAGTGAAAATGTCAAAGCATTTTTGAGGAAATCACTTGATTATCTAAACAATTAAGACATAGAACACACAAACAGAGAGTTACACTAATAGAGACTGATTGTTTTGATATGCCCCATGTGGACTAATAAACAATTTAGACAAGCTTAAATTCTATGTCTTATTGTACTCTGTCTGTAACATTGTTCCAGTCAATATATTAATTTAGTATAGCTTGTCAATTGATCATCCACAGATATCAGAACATATATGAAACTATTCAACAAATCATAAATTATTGGGTTCCAAAATTATGAAATAAAAATGTTCAAGCTCAATGTTTTTTTTTTTGATAAGTTCAAGCTCAATGTTTATAACATGATCCCATAGTTTTGAAAAGTATCATTCTTTCACAAACATCTCAACCAATTTAGATTCAATATTAGTACCAAAATTATGAAATAAAACAGTTCAAGCTCAATGTTTATTTATAAAATGATCCCATGTTTTTATTTTATTTTATTTTTATTTTTAAAAACAACAAGAAAAAAAAAAAAAAAACACCATTCTTCCATGAACATCTTAACTAATTTAGATTCAATATTAGTGCCAAGATTGAAATTAAAGTAAATTAATACTCACCTTCTGCAATCTGTCTCTGTATATATATATATATATATATATATATATATATATATATATGAAGTACAATTATTTATGTATAAAGATCATGAAAAAGAAAATGAGAAGTAATCTGATTAAGTAAGAACCCAATGGTATCAATAAAATCTGGAATCTAAATTCAGGTAAAAAGTCATACCTTAGACAGAAAAGATACCCCAAATCCAAAAGACTAAACGAAAGCCCTCCTTGTTGCTCAAACCAACTATATCTCCTAAAGCCATTCATAAATGTAAATAATAATAATAACAAAATTTGCCGCACCATACACGTGTAAATTCCTAAATAATATAATAATAATAAAGTAACAAAATATCCCCCAAAAAATCATATAAAAAGAGATATACCAAAAGGGGTATGTTCTGTGTGACGCAAAAGAAGGAAAACAAAGGGCTGTTATTAAATCTGGCCGTTGCATTCGATTCGATTTGAATTTTGGTTGTGACCGTTTCAGCTCAGCACTAGGTTTTGGTGGATTTGATTCCCTGGTCGCTGTTGTTTTTTGTTCCTTCCAACTAGAAGCGAAGGCTTGCCATGTACTTAAAGCGAGTGCAATTTTTCAGAGAGCATCTCAAACATACGTTTGATCAACACGTTGCATCCTCAATGTGACATATTATAATGTTAAGATATGATAATAATATTATATATATAATAATATAATATAATATTTTTTTATATTCAAGTAGCTTCATTCCATACTGCACCGCGTCCCAACACCCCGATTTTACGTGATGAAGAGCCGCCGCCACCGCCGTGATCACCTGAAGAAACAGAAATCTAGACGTGCAGTCAGGAGACTCAGTGAGTCGACTCTGAGTCGTGACTCATCCTTTTTGCCATCTCGCATCAATCAATATATGGAGTGCATGACCTAACCAAATTGGCCATCAATATCACGAAGCATCGAGTTCGATTCCCTGATCGTAACATTTACAAATCAATCCCCAAAAAGTTAAATGTGATGATGTTATCTTGTCACTCTTAAAAAACTCTGTACAGTCTCCATCACAGGTAATCTATCTTCTCTTCCTTTTCCAGTTTCTTTGCAAATTAGTAAACATTGACGCTTCGAGGCACTTAGAATTCATTCAATATGTTGTTTTGCTTATTCTGATTTTCAATCATGCCAAAACCACCATTTTCGCTCGGTAACTATCTCCGTGCCATTCGTATGTCTTGTGTTCTTTCTTGTTGCTTTGTTGTGCAATTTGTTAGTTTTTTGTTTTTGTTTTCTTTTTTTGACTGATTTTCTGGGAAAGAATGAGAGAAAAGAAAGGGAATTGGATTTTTAATGTTTTAATTTGTCTGCCTTTCTTGAGTTGTGCATAAATTGATGCTTTTCTTCTTGGGTTTGGTTTGATGTTGATTCTTTTCTTACAATTTTTGCTCTCTTCTGTGCAATTTGATCATCATGTGGCTTTAATAGTTTGAAGATTATCTTTCTTTCTGTGGGAAAGGAAAGCTCTGGTAATTAGAAATGGATTTGGGCCTAGGTTTGTATTTATGTATCAATCTTTCCTTTTGTTCATTAGGTTCCTCATGCCTGGACTTTTTTATTTTATCTAAAGCTGATATATATATATATATATATATATATATATATATATATATATATATATATATATTTGTTTGTTTGTTCGTTTTTTTTGTTTTTTTAAACTGGTTAAATGTTGTGTTTCTGTATATCTTTTTAACGCCGCAACATGATGGGATTATTTTGCATTATTTTTACTGTTACACTTTAAGTACTTTTATTCAAGAGGAGGAGTTTCTGGTTTAATTGGATATTGGCAATTTTTCTACAATGATGTGCTTGAGGAGGTAGGTAGATTGTATGTTTGCACATCTCATCTTTGAGTTGGTTATGTTTTTTTGTCCAAGTAATAATTTACATGATAGAACGTAGCTAATCTAAGTTATTATGTAAATTCAATTTGTTGTTTCTCCAGATATGACATAGATATAAATTTGTAAATCCTATGTTGTATGAAGGTCCAGAAAGTCGCCTGCTAGCGCAAGTCCTCCAATTGGGGGAGTTGATCTATGATTTATGAAAGTCTTCGCAAACATGAAATTTGGATTTGGGCCATTTCAAACTTAAATACCATCCAGCCTAGGGATCTCCTTTCTTGTTAATTAAGTTTGGTTTTGTTTTGTTTGTTACTATTATATATGTTTATGCCACGTCTGGTGGTTTGCATGTATGATTAAAATTGTACTGCTGCGGTTTTGTCTATAAATGTATCACATTCTTGTGTCAGATGGGTGTGACTCCATTTTTTTTATTGTGATAATGGAGTAGAACTTCTTCCTTTTTATTGGATGAGGGTATGTGTCATTGTGATTGAAAAAATGTTTATTTTTATCTACAATTGGATGACTTCCATAACATAGAGGAATGCATGTATGCAACCAGCCTACATCTGGAAAATCAGTGACACAGTATTGAAGAAGCTGTTTCCCTTTGTTTTGCATAATTATGAATTGGTTTCATTGATGCATGAATATCTTTCGTGTTGAACTATGTAGTAGGAATTAGGGCTTGGAGTGGAGTGGGTTGACCCAAGATCCGATCCAACGCCCATTTTAACAAGTTTGGATTTTTATTTTGAATCTGAATAAAAAATGGGAGATATGGATATAATTAGAAAGATCAATCATGGATCCGGAGAATGGATTTTGTTTTATCTTAGAACCAGCCTAAATCAAGTATATTTTTCTTTATTAGGATCATGTTTAAATTATATGACTAGGATATGTATCATTTTCATAGGATTTGATGTGGATCCGAATATGTGTCCAGATAAAAAATATGGATCTGGACTTGTCATGAAGTTGCTCCAGATCCTCTCCATTTCAAGCGCTAGTAGAAATATTATTTTCCTTAATTATAGAAGAAGCCTATGTTGTTGGCACGAACAATTGTTTCATACCTAATATATCAAATGTTATCTAGCAATCGGAGTGGATTGATGCTGTAGATTCATTTGCTACAGGCATACCTGGAGATGGAAGATGCTTGTTCAGGTCTGTGGTTCATGGTGCTTGTCTGAGAGCAGGGAAACCATCTCCAAGTGAGAGCTATGAGAAAGAACTTGCTGATGAGCTCAGAGCTAAAGTATGAAAGAATCTCATTTTCATTTTCATTTTCTTTGTTTCTGATGCTCCATTGAGATGATATAACTTGTTGCTGCATGCTGTCTAGTTAGTTATGTAGTTGATCCTAAACTTAGTGTGAACAATTTTAACTTGGACAAATCAACAAGCATTGTTTTATGCACCTTTACCAATACTACTTCCATGGGCTAGAAAGAGAGATGGCTTGCGAATCAGCTTTTCTCAAGTTTCAGAGAAAATGAAAAATCGTGCTAGATCTTCTTTTATTCACTCTTATTGGTATTATTATTGTATTACCTGTCTACTTACTTTCTTTAGCTGTTATATGTTCAAATTGAATTGGTTAGCCCACTTATCATTTTGATTTTTGTCGGTTGCCTCAAACAATTCGTTTCTTTTTCTACTTAAAGGAAGATCATCAATTATTTTTGACAGGTAGCAGATGAATTTATCAAGAGGCGGGCAGACACTGAATGGTAAGATATCTTTGAGGATGCTGGGTTTAGATCTGTCACATCATTTTTGAAATTGTTTAGCGGACAGGTGAATTTTAGTTCTCTTCATAAAGCTTGATACTGTAGATTTTCCATTGAATTAGTTCTCCATCAAGCTTTATATTTTAATCTTAATAATGAGGAGCCTTTTCCTTCAGATCATATTCTCACAACTTATCTGTGGGTAAGACTAACGCGTAAGTAGTAGTTATGTGTATTAAAGCAAGAGGTATACAATCACATTGCGTAATCCACTAACCTTTCATATCTTTTTAATAACTTTCCCAAGTAAAACAATGATATTCACTCTCTCGAGAGTTCTTTGATATCTATTCTTCTGCAGGTTCCTTGAAGGTGATTTTGACGCGTATGTTGTAGAGATGCGGCAGCCCCACATATGGGGAGGAGAACCTGAGCTGCTCATGTCCTCTCATGTCCTAAAGTAGGTCTCTTATTGTCCCTTTCCATTTTCTTTATCAACTAATTGTAGTACCATTTCATTGGTTTTCTTTAGTGTAATAGTGTCAATGTACCATTACTCTAAGTCAAAGTCTACTTTCTGGTAACTTCAATATATGTTTAAAGCAACAATCTACTTTCTGGTAACTTCAATATATGTTTAAAGCAACAAGCTTTAATGGGACTGGATTCTGTTCTTTATGTTAGACCTATATTTGGGCGGTCAGGCTGTCCTTTTACAAAAACGACAAATAGGATCAAGTCCATCGCACGCTTTCTATATTTTCTTATTATAGTGATCAATAGCCACTCCCTCAGTCTGACCCTGGTAGCCCGAACCAAGGTTCATTGAAACATTAAATTTTGAAACATCGGATAAGCATCTAAAATCTTTCCCAAGGAATAAGTGTTCTCACTGAAAGTTACTTTGGCTGTCTGGACGGACTGTCCAAGGATGCATTTGAAGCTTTTCCACATTTTTAATGTACTTTTTTCTCTGTTTACAGGGTGCCTATCACGGTTTACATGTGGGATAAGAGGACTAATTGCCTCAAAATTATAGCAGAATATGGTCAAGAGTATGGTAGGGAGAACCCAATTCGTGTTCTTTATCATGGTTATGGACATTATGATGCATTGCAGAGCCCTGCTTCTGGATCAAAGTTGTAAGATCTCCAGTTTTTTTTATTTATTTATTTTTATTTCGTTTTATTCTCATGCTTGCATGCAAATTTTTTTTTTTCACATGCTTGCATGGCATCCAATGGAAAATGCATAATATTTGTGTAGTGTGGCGGTGTCTATGGTCACTTGGCATGGACACTGCTAATATAAATTTAATTTTTCATTTATATATCTATTGAATTAGACAATTCTAGAACTTTAAAAACTTTATAATTTCTAAGGTAGAAGGTGAAGCTATTTGAATATGAAAAAATATGTATTATATTATATATGATATCGCTATTGTATTATGTTTTTGTTCATATTACATACTAATATACCATGCATGTGTTTATTGTCAATTTTTTAAATAAAAAGAGGTTGGACACTTCGATATATGTTCATAATGTTGTTTTTATGTTTTTTTAACACTGTCTTATGTTTGTTTTTTATAAAGCACAGTGTGGATATGTTAAATCAAGTTTTTGAGATGTTTGTGTGAGATATGTTATCTAGTGTCTGAAATGTGTTGACCAAGTGTTGGAGACGTGTCCAAGAGTGTCATTGTTGTCTGACACGGTCCGTGCTTCTTAGATGATCCGTGTAGAACACATACAAACTTAACCTTGGGCTTGTCCGGATTCTGGAATATATGAATTGAGCCCATCTTCATCTTCACCTGTAATGTATGTAGTGTGGTGGTGGTGTAGATTCAAACTGGCCTCTATAGGTGGAAAAAAGCACTGCTGGTACTAGAAAAAAAAACTACAGTATAATATTGCAATATGATTCCTATATGATACATACAATCTTTTAGCTTGGATTCATCTCAAATATTTAAATTGAACCATCTTCAGTGGGATATTCTTTGGGTTTTGTGGTATTATATTTTATTTCTATATGTATACATATATATGTGTGTGTGTGTGTGTGTATATTTATATTGTTTCTATATGCTTTCGACCATCTTAACAATTTGTTAGGGACGCTTTATTGGAATTTGAAATTTTAATAGTTGTACTGATATTTTTATGCAGGTACAAGAAAAGATAGAAGGGATGTTTGCTGGTTTTTCATCATGTATGGCCATGTATGAAATTATTACAGAATATTATGCTTAGATTTGCAATCACATTACAATAATATTTTCAAAAGCTCTTAAGGGACATGATTGTGAATTAATACAAAGCATGAGATTATGGAAGTCTTAGATGTCATTACTCAAAAATGTAGTCATCCCCATTTTTATTTTTTTATGTTTGCTGTCTTTTCATAAATCCCTCGATTTTTAACCTAATTATATACACGTCTATTCAAACTTGAAAGGTTCAAGGAGCACAAATCACACCACTAATATATGAGATAGAGAAAGTGTGTTACATAATTAGTTTCTTAAAGAAATTTAGAATATATATTTAATCCCCGGAAGAGCTTGCCTTGATACTCTGCATTATGTATTACTCAATAAGTTAGTACAAAGAATTCGCCAAAAAAAAAAAAAAAAAAAAACTTGTACAATGAATTCTTCGATGCTTTGACTTTTATTTATTTATTTTTGAGGAATGCTAAGGATAGTCGCTTTCACCGTCACTCATCTCATTGGTTATTTTAAATTTTATTAATTACTCTTTCTCTCTATTCTTTTCTCAAGGAACGTAAAATATTTAACCTATTTAAAAACAAAATTTACCTTTAAAAAATAAAACTACCATTTAAATCATTTTTCATTACCTTTCTTGTATCTCATCCCTCAATCCATATACGTGTAGTATATATATATTTTTTACTCCTTTATTTCTTTTCTTTTTATTTCAATTGTTGCCACTAGTTATTATTATTTTATTTATTTTTTTTAAAGCAGAACAAATAAGAGCAGGGAAATGTTCACCAAATTTAGAAAAAAATTTATTAAACCAAATTGTTATTAAATTTTAAGAACAAATAAGAACAGGGGAATGTTCACCAAATTTAGGGTCTGTTTGGTTAGATGGAAATAGATGGTGGAAAGTGAAAGTGAAAGAAAGTGAAGTGAAGGAAAATAAAATTAAGTTTTCATGGTGCATTTAGTTAGCATGGAAATTTTTCAAGAAAGTTATGAGAAAATATTATATTGTTAGTTTGGATAGAATGAAAGAGAAAAGAACATGATTGTACTTGTCAAAATTGTCTTTATAATTTTAAATAATAAAAATATAAATAAATTTGAGTAAAATTAATTCATAAATCAAATTTTGTTGTTGATAATAATATTCTGAGCTTGTGTGAGACACCAAGTCACCGGAATTTCTTTACTCAAAATATATATATATATATATATATATATATATATATATATATATGATTTGGACCTTACAATTTATATAGTAATTGTAAGGATTTTGATGAAGTTGAATGAAATTAGGATTGTTCCACTATATGTTTGTTTATATTAGAATAACCAAAACCAATAGAATTTTACATATAACAACCAAGTTTATGAGGGTTTTATTTTTTGAATTCAACTAGAATTATATAACTATAAAATATTTTGTATTATTCTTTTTAAGGAACATATATATTTCGTAAAATTTATAATAACTCTAGTATCAAAATTATAAAACCTAGTTGATTTGTATATACACATATTGAAAATTAATATAATGCACTTAAAAAATATCCACCATAATATGTTATATGTATATACGTATTTGGAAGGGGAAAAAAAAAAGAAGAAAAGAATAAAGCAATAAAATAGATTAAAAAAAATTTGCTAAACATAAGATCTCTCCAATTTCACGATTTCATTTACATTTGGAAAAAAAATGTCTATAAAAAAGGGACGAAAAGATAAAGGAAACCCAAGTTATCCAACTGATAATTATGGGTATAATAAGAATTTAAAATATAACTTAACAACTTCCCCGAGAAATAAAAATTTTCGTGTGTTTTATACAGGAATCGTTTTAAAGAAAATTAGCTACTTGCGAGAATCTAATTTCCTGAAAATTTTACGTTTCATCCCAAACAAACGCACAAAATATTTAAATATTTTCCGATTCTTTTCTTTTTTTGTTAGTTCTACCTAACCAAACGAACCCTTAGAAAAAAATTTAAGAACAGGGGAATGTTCATCAAATTTGTTATTAAACCGAAACAATTTAAAAAAAAATAAGAAAAAAAAAATGAATTGAGGGTATACTAAAAAATATGATGGACTTATAAAAAAGAATATATTCATTATAAAAAATTTATTTCAATTGTCGCCTTGTTCTTAAATTTTTTTCTAAATTTGGTGAACATTCCTTTGTTCTTATTTGTTCTGGTTTTAAAAAAAAAAATAAAAAATGAAAGGGAGGGCGGGAAAAAGGCTAATGGCAACAATTTAGAAAAAAAAAGGGAAATAAAGAAAAAAAGAAGGAAATAATTAACTAGTGGCAACAATTGAAATAAACATGAAAGAAATAAAGGCAGTACAAAATATATATATATACTACATGTATATGGATTGAGGGAGGAGATACAATAAAGATAATGAAAAAAGATTTAAAGGGTAATTTTGTTTTTTAAAAGTAAGTTTTGTTTTAAAGTAAGTTAAATACTTTACGTTCCTTTAGAATAAAAAATAGGGAGAAAGAATAATTAATGAAATTTAAAGTACCAATCAAATGAGTTACTGTCCTTGTCGTTCCTCTTTATTTTTTAATATAATGATTCTAAAATCTGAAGTGTTTGAAGGTAATGGAGGGCGTGCAATTAAGTGTCTGTTTTTGACTTTTCATTTCAACGACATTCGAACTCGTTGAAATAGGATATCATTACTCTTGTGTTAATTTACAGTTAATGACAAGAGATTTATTTTTTATTTTTTACATTATTTATTTTTTAATATATATTTTTTTTACATGCACAAAAAATACACTTATACATTTTTTTTTTTTTTTTTTTTGATCATACGAGACTTGAATACTGGATAGATGTCCTTTGATAAACTAATGACAAAGGATAAATACAATTTTTTTAATAATACATAAAATTCTGTCAAAAATATATCGGTCAAGAATTAAATGCGTCAAGCCTAAATAATATAAGAATTCAAAAACAATGGATACACAAGAAAAAGGAATTCAAAAACAATTTTTTTCCTTCCCTTATTTTATATATATATTTTCTTATAATATGTGTATATTTTTTAAAAATGTGTAAAAATGCCCCCTTCAAATTTCTCTATACCTTATATACTTTATATGCTTCCTTAAATTTTTTTCTTAAATTGTTTCATTATATTCTATATACGTAATTTATTGATTTACCTCATTCCAAAAATATCAATTTCTATATATATCCACCTATTTCTCTTTATGTATATATACTCCATAATTGAACACTAATTTATATGGATCAATAACTTATGAACATGTTCTCTTTTAATTTGATAATTAAAATTGTTCAGTATAGAACTATATACTCAACCATTTACATTTGGCAGATTAATTAAATGCAGATTCTTGTACTACAAAACCGCCTTGCAAGAGTATACTAATTTTATTACGAAAAAGAAAAAGAAAATATTAATTTTCATTGAATTAACCAATCAAATGTCATCATCTAATAATTATTTTTCATTAATTATTATTTTATTAGAAATAAGATAGAATACATCTTAGCAGGAAGTATTGTTGATTAGAAAGTAGTGTAGTAGGAAGTATCTATTTTTTGGTCAAACTCCTTACTGTAATTTACCTTTGAATTTTTTAATCCAATCAAGTTATGAGATAAAAGGGCGTCCTCTTCATTTACGGAATTTCCTTATTGATCAAGTAAAGAATACTCGTTCGTAATAAACCCTCTTAAAACCTCCAGAATATTCTCTCAGAAACTGAACAGTTACGGGCTTAAATCTCTGCGCAGAATCAATCGCACTCCTTGAGGATCACACAGCAGTTTACTTCTATTCAATATTTGATCAATCTAAGTAGAGGTCAGTTGATTCACACAATAAATTAATAGTTTATTCAACACTTATATATGTGCATGAAATTAATATCAACATTACTTCTGTCCGACAATTTCTTTATAAAATTATTGTGTTCTTGTTAATCAAAGTTGATTTCATATGCTGTTTTGTTGTCCTGTTTCTTGTTGAGGAGTACCGAGGAATATGTACTTTTAAAACCCTAATTTTACTACATTGTCGCCCACTCACAGTTTGGCCGATTTGTATTTTGTTTTTAGATCTATGATTTCCATAGACATTAGATTTAACGGAAAAAGAAAGAGAAAGGAACAGAGAAAATCCATTTGTTTTTTTCTCTTTATTTTATTTTAAATTTTGGGACTCATCAATGTATTGAATTTGCCCATCTTGTATAACTAGGATTACCTTGAGTTTCTTTTGACACTCTTATTTGATTCAATTAGAACTCATTTAGAAGTATATGATTAGGCGGGATGTTACCAGAAGCATTATTATGAAAAAGTAAACCGGATTCTCATATAATTAGAAGTATAAAAAAACTAATATTGCGATTAGGTGCTCCCAAACATATAGCTTAAGCGCTTTTATACTCTTATACTCTACCTGTGTTTTAACTTTTCCTAAATCTAAATTTGTATACAATTCATATCCAAGAGAGCATTCTTTGGTGAAACAGTAAAATTTCTAACTTTCAAGATTAAAATGTATTGGAATTGAAATATAATGTCACTAAAGAACGAAGTTATAATTGGGGGGCATGGTGAATGTCAAATATAGATTTGGAGCCAATTAGGTGTGATTGTGTGTCAACTAGCCGCGTTGTATTTCAATTCACAAGAAAGTTATCATTGAGGCAATAGTTTTTCTCTCGTCTCGGTGACTTTGAATCTTAATTCTCAAGCTCTAAGTCAAAGTTTCAAAAGAGATCACTTCTATTTGCATTGATTATGCTTCTTCAGTTTTGTTTCTCTTTCTGCCAAACATACTACTACTACTAGTTTGTGCATATTTTTCTAATCCACAACCATTACTTTCTAACACGAACCTTTTTTATGACAGATTTTTATATATTTCAAATTCTACATCAAAATGTTGGTTCAAGCAAATCACAGATGTGTTGGCTTCAGAGACATCTGCTATACAAAATTTTGTCCGCTATTGATAAAGCGCTTAATGTGTAATATAAGCAATCAAAATAAGAAATCTGACCTTCCATTTCCGCTGCTCGGTCCACCAGAAATTTACACCCCGGTCCCGGCCATCAGCGACCCCTTCATGGGTTCGATGGTCTCCAAGTACAATAAGGGGCCACCGCCAAAACCTTGTATGGGTTTCACAGAAAACCGCTCCCCAACTTTCCTATCCAGTGGAAATTCATGTCTAGATTTCTTCTTCCATGTGGTTCCTAATAGACGCTCGAAATCG